GCGTTTCCCTTCGGGGCATGGAGGGGCTCAGGCAGCCAAATGATACAGGAGAAGGGCGTTTCAACTCAGACCCATCAAAGACCAAGCACAGTTCTTGGAACCTCTTTCCTTGAAAATCTCTGGGGTTTCCTCCACGCCGCCTCCCTCCCAACAAGAACAGAAGTGGTTGGAGAGAGAAGGAAAATGTGAGTTTCCTGACTCAGGCCAGCTGCAGATAACCCATCTCTGGCTTCCGGAAACCTCGCCTCGGAGCATTCATTAAGGCCGAGGAAAAAAATGCTTCCTAGGGAGGAGGAGGGGTGGGAAGGCCTGGAGATGGCCGTGGCAAGGAGGTTATAACCCGACTGACCCTCACCTGCTCATCCTCCAGATTTCAACATCCTCCAATTATCATCTTCCCCCCAATAATTCCATGCCCCCCTTTTGTACTCCCCTGGCACTCTGCCTTGTGCTTGCCCCCCACTGCAGACACGGTCTTCGGAGAGCTCACCAAACCCAAACCTCAGACCCAGGTGTGCCCCCACTGCCAAAGGGCAGCCCCATCAGCATTGAGCCCCGGGACAGGATTAAAAACCACATCGATGCCCCATAGATAGTTTATACCAAGAGGACCTCCAGGTACTCACGATCATGTACTAACCCTACCACTGGAAAGAAGGCCAGGGCTGGCCGCGGGGACGTACGCTGATGTCGGCTTTGATTCAGGACTTGGACGGTCCATCAAAGTTTATTACCGTTTGGCTTGAGTAGAACGGAGAACGGAGAGTCATTTCCTCTCGTTCTTTTCTCTGCGGAAAGGACAAACAGCTGGCTCCTTGTAAGCGCCCAGCCTCACCCAGACTCCAAGTCCAGCACATTCTTGGAGGAGCCCGTCCTGGACCTCTCTTGTTCAAAGTGAGCTCACCGCATCCGAACTGCTGGAGGGGTCTTTACACAACACCTGCCGTGCGGCGAGTCACCACACTGCCCTGTGCTCTCACACGTGGTACTCGTCCGTCATTTATCACTTTATTATCACTACCATTTTACAAGGATAGGCGCCATAATGGTTAACATATTTACGCACTAGACCCTGCCCTCGTGATGCGTTTAGCACCATCTTGTCCTCCCAACCACCGTGAGGTTGATGCTATTACTATCCCTGTTTCATGGAAGGAAAAACAGACACAGAGAAAAACAAAGTAACTTGCCCAAGGTCACACAGCTGGTCTCCTCTTGATGCCCAGTCTCTCTGAATCTGGGCACGACTCTCTTTTAAAAATTTTGTTTATTTATTTGACAGACAGATCACAAGTAGGCAGAGAGGCAGCAAAAGGAAGGGAAGCAGGCTCCCTGCTAAGCAGAGAGCCCGACGAGGGGCTCGATCCCAGAACCCTGGGATCATGACCTGAGTGGAAGGCAGAGGTTTTAACCCACTGAGCCACCCAGGCGCCCCTAGGCACGACTCTTAACAAGTTAAAAAATTCTATTGGACCTGGCACAGATCTTCTGGCACGAAGACCCATCACAACTGACTGCGAAGTGGGCTGGAGAATCACTGGTCTTCTCTCCCTCCACATTCTCTTCCCTATGTTCCTTCTGTCCTGTGCCCCCGCCCTCCCCCCCATACACCCTCCACACCGGGCATCCCTCCACCCTGTTGGGTTTATGGACCTACTTCTAAAAGAGAAAAGAAAAAGGAAAACCAAAACCCAAATGTCTCCACGAAGAGCAGCTGTTCTGGCATTTTAATTGCTGAAATGAGGAGCAGCTGTGTTCATTCCCACGTAGGCACCTGCAGATGTGGGCATGCATGCAGGCCAGCTCACCTGACTCCCCTGGGGACCGGGTCACACCAACGCCTGGCATGCCTAGCACATTCCCAGTCAGGCTCTGAGCATCTGTGATGTGAAAACCCATCTCCAACCTAACCACTCTCCTGGAGAAGGCCAAGAACGTTGGCAGCTGAAAGTCTGATTTTTGACAGCTTTGACGTCTTCCGGGCTCAAGTCACATCTGGGCAATCAGTGTCAAACCCCAACCACGCATACTTCTCACTCGCCGGAAAATTGCTCAAAACATAGGAAAAAACAGCCAGCCCTCTCCCCCACCCCCCAGACCCAACACTGGAAGGGAGTAGTGGTGGGGGGGGGTGGTCATGCTTCTCAGAGGGGGGTTAAGAATCACAGCATATGATGAAAGACGGGGTCTCAGGGGCCTCGTGAAAGGAAAGCAGAAGACAAGACCATCCGTTTAAACTTTCTTCCAGTCTGAAACCTCCGACTCTAGGAGGCGGTACTAAGAACACAGGTGTTGCTCCGGGCTGACCTGTGTCCCTGCCAAGCTCCTGTGTTGAAGTCCCCCCTCTCCCTGTGCTGGTACTTGGGAGATGGGGCCTCTGGAAGGTCATCTGGTTTCCATGAGATCATAAGGGTGTGGCCCTCAAGATGGGATTAGTGACCTTAGAAGACGAAACACGAAAGCTTGCTGAACACAAAGGGGAGGAGGCCTTGGGAGGATACAGTGAGCTAGCTGCCAGGACCTGGGCTCTCAGCAGGAACCGAATCTGAGGGCACGTTGACCTCAGACTTCCCAGCTTCCAGACCAGCGAGAAGTAAATGTCTATGGTAGAAGCCACCCAGCCTGTGGCACTGGTTACAGCAGCCTGAGCAGACTAACACAGGTGTCTGAGACAGGGGTTCAAGTCCTGACTCCGCCCTTTCCATAGCTAGGGGACCTTGGATGAGAGTTATTTTATTTTCCTTATCCACACGTTTATGGATAAACTACAAGAACAACAGTTGCCTCACATAGCTGTGAGGAGGGTCGGCTGTGAGGAGGGTCGAGTGGGCCGATGGAGGTGAGAGGGGCTCCGTGCTTTTCCAGATGAGCTCCCTTCCCCCATCATGTGACCTTGGTGCTCGGCCAGCCCTCATCAGCATGGCCTTCACGCACGCTGGGGCTCCCCCAGTCAACACAGCCTCTGTCCCATCCAGCCCACAGATATGTTTTGTTTGACCTGCACTAATGTTTGGGGGAAATTCAGATTGTTTATTAACACTTAAAAGCCAGGAAATTTCACATAAAAGTCTTAATTTCCGGTTGAGAAAGAGGCTGACATGTCACCCGCCCCACGTCCTGCCAGGGCGATCCACAATCCCCTTTCAACATAGGGACAACTCTCACCTCTGTGCATCCAGCCAGCCTCCCACATTCAGAAGACGCGCTGGGCACCTGCAGGCTTCTCAGTTAGCAACAACCCCCCAGGGATAAAAGGTCTGGTGGAATCTTCCAGGGCCAGTACTTTTCCTCGCTGCCCACAAAGATTTTAAGTACAATTTCAGGATCGGTCTCCTGAAGTGAGGAACAATTAGCACGTTCCTGAGTCACTGTTTTATTTATTTATACTTCCACTGTGAGCTAAAGAACCCTCCTGAGGAGGCCAGGATCTTAGTTCTTGGAGTAAAATAGAGTTCCTGCAACTCAGGGGTTGGCTGACCCTGCTTTGCCCCGTCACTTGACTTCTTGGGGCCTCAGTTTCCTTCTCTGTAAAAGGAGGCCTTGGGCTAGACAAGCTCTATTGTCTCTTCCCTATTTGTGTAATTACTATGTGAAATTCAAGCTCCTGGGTAGAAATTCAACACACCTCAGTTTACTTCTGAGCCCCAAAGGTTTTAATGAAAGCAGAGCTCTTAAAACACCTCACTGACCCTTAAAACACACATCTTCATTAAATGTAAATAGGACCCAAATAATGGCCTTGTTGATTGTCCCGCCCACTCCAGGGCTGGGTCTTTAGCCTTGATGTTTTGCACTTAACACACCAGACAAGCAAGAACACTAGGACATTAAAAGGCCTAATGCGCAACCTCTTTCCCCAGGAGATTCTGGCGCTCTGGGCTGTGTCTGCCTATCTCTGTCCTCATTTCACCAAAACACAAACCTGACCATACCACCCCCAAACCTCAGGCAGTCTCTGCTCGTAGGCCTTTCCTTGGTTTCTTGCTCACTGCCACCACAGGACCTTTGCACCTGCAGTTTCACCTGGTGAATTCCCACTGGTCCTCCAGAAGATGGCACAAGCAGGACATCACTCCTGGCCTCGGCAAGATGGGAGTCATACAGATGTGCTTTCCTCACAGCAGCTGTCACAATAGCACTTTTACATTTTATAGGTATAATTAGTTGACCAGTGATGGTCCCCCCGACTGAATACTGAAATCACAGGACAGCAGGGTCCACCTCGGTCTTTGCTCAGTGCTGTCTCTCCAGTGCATGGCCAATAAGCAGCACTCAAATATTTGTTGAAGGAGTGAATAAATTTATGAAAAGCTGACACTACTGAGAAGATTCTGGAAGATAAGAAACCCCTCAAGGACCACATCTTATTGAGGGTTGTATCGCCAAAACTTAACTGTAATGACCGCCACAACGCGCACAGTCATAAGAGCCCGCAGTACTTCAAGAGCTCCAACCCTGTCCTAACAGGTCATTTATACAATAACTCAATTTAAATCTTTACAAGAATCCTATGGAAGTAGGCACATTTCCCATCCATACTTCATGTAAGAGGAAACTGAGGAACAAAGAAGTTGGTAAGAAACTTAAGTTAGTAAAAGCCATAAGGGCAACAGAATCCCAAGCAGTCTGGTTTCAACCATGAGGCCATCTTGCCCAATATGGCACCTAATGGTTAAGCAGGGCACAATCCATATGTACAGATGTGACATATGTGACATCTGCCATATGTCAACCCTCCACCCCCTGGTTGCCCCCACCGTGCCCCACACAAGAATAAACGGATGAACCCGCCATGGATCATTATTATCTAGACAGATAAGGGTCTTGAAGCTTAGTAGCCCTATGAGCCAGTAAAAGTTGACAGAAGCAACAAGAACCAAGCAGACAAAAACTTTAAGTTAAGGCTGCCAGTGGGACAGCCACTGCCCCAGCTCAGGCCCACAGAGGGGAACCTCAGGCCCACAGGTGGAAAATGGCCCCTGACCTAGCCATCCACGTACCTGATGTTTTCATTCAGTGCATAGAGCTCGTTGCTTTGCAAGCCACCTCCTTTGAAGACGTTGATCACGGCAGTCTGGACGCTATGGGGGAAACAGAAATGAGCCCTTGTTAAAGGATCTGCCTGCCTAGGGCAGCCTCAATCAACAGCTCAGGGCTAAAGGCAGGTGCAAGGGCCAGGGAACCCATGGCACAAACTGGCCCCATTTTCCATCCCTGGAAATCCATTATTTCCTTCCCCAGGTCATTGGAGAGACAGGAAGAGTGAGGCCAAGAAGATCCAAAAGCAGACCTTGCCCCCCAAGTTTCTCAAAGGCGAGCCAGTCTTCCTCACTGGCCCCATTGGCTGCCCTGCTGGCAAGCAGCCCTCACAAAGGACAGATGCTGGGATGTGCTCTCAGGATGCTGGGCCTAGAGGAATCCAAAATGGCGCAAGCGGATGCCAAGAGTGCCTGGGATTCCTTCACTTAGGAGGTCCCTGTCCTCGCAGAGCAGCTTGTGTGCCTGGGGCTGATATGAACTGCTTTTTCCTTGCCTTTTTGATAGGGTTACCTTGGAAGAGTCTCACTGAGGCTAGCCTCTCTTGCCCCTCCCATTTCCCTCCTGGGAGGTGCAGAGGCATTGGTGGGTTAGTTCCTGGCGGGGCCACAGCTAAGTCTTGACTCCACAGGCTCTGCGGCACCAGCCCAATATGTCAGCAAGCAGCAGACTGCAATCTCTTCTTTATCAAGGATCCCAGGGCTTTTTTTTTTTTTTTTTAAGAACACATATCCATTCACAGCGAAACATGCCAGAGCCCCATCTTCAGCCCCATTGCGAGAGTTGTGCATTCATGAGAAAATCCAGAATGAGTCAAAGTACAAAGAATTCAGTAATGCTTTAAAATAATGATATGCTGGGTGCCTGGGAGGCTCAGTCAGTTAAAATCATGAAGCATTTAACTCATCCAAAGAGTAATGGCTAGATACGAAAGCAGCAGCCCAGAGGGATGCAAAACGTGGTGTTGATTCTGTCCACTCATTGCTTGGTGTATAAAACATCGGCCAGACACTGCATAAAAGCCAGTATCTCCTTCCCCATGCACCTGTGGCTCATGATACCACTCATTTGGCTTATGTCTTACCTTCCCAGAGAGGTAACAGGTGACTTGAGGTTCCTTACTCCGGCCAACCCCCAGGTACGCAAATAGTCTGGGGTTGGTTGACTAAGGAGCAGGAACAGAAGCCGTCAATTCCAACCCAACTGTCCTGGGCCGGTTAACTGACTCCAGTAGCCCAGAGGCCTCCAGGGGCTCAAACAACGGAAGGCAGCGGACACGTCGTCCACAGGAAATCGTGCTTTCTTCAACAGCTGTCTAGCTGTACAATCACGACCTTCTGGAACAGAGCTCTCCAAAGGAGCAGAAGCTAAACCGGTCCCCAGGCCCTGCTCTGGCCCTTGGCCACCGTCCACTTCACGACAATCGCCCCCTCCCCGTTACCTGTTCCAGGCCGAGTTGGAGCTGAGCTGCAGAGCCTGCCGGGCTGCTTGGAACCGGGGCAGATCGCTGAGCACTGGGGAGCTCATGAAACGCGGCCTGGGCCTGCGGAAGGAGCCCATCTTGTGGAACTCAGTGGGCAGACTGGGAGCGAAGCCGCGGGTCATAAGTCCAGGTGAGGGGAAGGCCTTCTCCTCTGGACCAGAAGGTTCCGAGTGCCCCCGGGAAGGGCTTCTCCCAGGGCTGCCCTCCGGTTCTCAGGATTTCTTAAAACCACAAATTTAGCCAACACCTGAAAAGAAAGGACGCTTTTTATTGAAAAGTCCCAGGTTGAGCAGATCATTTTAGAGGAGATTGGCGGGGATTTTCCAGCCACACCATTTTAAAAACAACTCCAGCACCCCGCAGTAACATCCATCCCCTATGAGCTCCCATTCACAGGTTTTCACGGGTCTCCTTTTGACTATAACACTGTGCTTACCGCAAGGTGGGAAGCCAGTGACAACGGGCATAGGTTAAGGCAATCCTACAGAAAAGTGATTTCTACGCTGTGCTTGACGGTGGTCTTGGTGCTTGACACCAAGGTCTGGGCACTGGCTGGGTTTCTGTAGACCCCGCATCACTGTGCATTAAGAGATGGCTTTAAAAAAAAAAATGCCTTAAAAAAAGAACACAGGAGCTCCTTCTCCTGGCACTAAAGACCTTCCATGATCTGCCCTGAGCATGCAGTACACATGGGCAGTATTTCCCGAAGCATCAGTGCCTCCTCACTCGGGCCCATCTCACCATCCCTTACCTGCCGTTCACTCATTCATTCCATCAGAACATATTTACTGAGTGTTCGTCATCGATTAACCACTGGGAGCTGTGGAGCATCCAGATTTCTAAGACATAGTCCCTGCCCTCAAGAGGCTCAGGGTCTACTGAGAACACAAATGTCTGGTATCCATATACACAATAATTACTGTTTCCTGATTTTTTTTTTTTTTTATAAATTTTAATTCCAGCAGAGTTGACATACAGTGTTGGTTTCAGGGGTACGACACAGTGATTCAATACCTCCACGCATCACTGGGGCTCTTCATGACAAGGGTCCTCCCTAACCCACAGCCTCTGTTCCCCCCACCCCCTACCACCTCCCCTCCGGTCACCCTCAGTTTGTTCTCTATAGTTAAGAGTCCGTTTCTTGATTTGCCTCCCTATTTTGCCTTTGCTCATTTGCTTTGTTTCTTAAATTCCACATATGAGTGAAATCACATGGTATTATTCTTCCGCTGACTTATTTCACTTAGCGTAACATGGTACACTCTAGCTCCATCCATGATGTTGCAAACGGCAAGATTTCATTCTTTCTGATGGCTGAGTAATATTGCCTTGTCTTTATACACCACGTCCTCTTCATCCATTCATCAGTCCGTGGACACTTGGGCTGCATATTTTGGCTACTGCAGATAATGCTGCTATAAATATAGGAACGCACGTATCCCTCTGAATTAGCGATCTGTTTTTTTTTTTTTTTTTTGGTAAATATCCAGTGGTGTGACTGCTAGATCATAGGGTGGCTCTATCGTCAAGCAATATTTACTGACCAGACATCATGCACCAGCCGCTCACCCAGGTACTGGGGATGCAGTGGTGGCTCTGGACAACACAGTCGCTGCCCGGTAGAGCTCACCACCAGTGGGCAGGGTTCCACGCCATGCTTCTTCCCTCTCCCTAGCTTCTGACCGTTTTTACTGCTTCCCTTGCCCAGAATTCCCTTCCTTTTCTTCTCTCTCTATCTAGATCTAACTTATCCTGCAGGGCTGGGTTCAAGGATACTGTCCCCTGAGCAGTTCCCAGAACTTGATGGCTTTGTGATTAATGGCAATGGCTTTGGAATGAACCCGGGTTTGAGTCTTAACCAGGCCCCACCCAGCTGCATGACCTGGATCACGTGGAGCCCAAGAGTCCAAGGCTATGAGCAGTGCCACCCGCACAGGACTGAGAAGAGGAGACATGAGATTGTGTGATGTACCCAGCAGAATGGCATGCCCAAAGCTCGTTTTCCTCAGCACCTCTGCTCCTAACATTTCAGTCTCAGATTCTTTTTTTTTAATCTTAAGGTTGTATTTATTTGAAGGAGAGAAAGCAAGAGCCCAGCAGGTGAGTAGCAGGCAGAGGGAGAAGCAGGCTCCCCATGGAGCAAGGAGCCCGATGTGGGACTCAATCAGCCCCTCCACCTGCTTCTCAGGATGAACCCACAGCGACTAAAATCTATCAGTATTATCAGTACGTACCGCAGAAATCAAAATAGGCCTGCTCCATTTCCAAGTCTCAATGACTACGCAAGTGCCACTGGAATTTGGAAAGATCTTTGCAAATCATCAGATGAGGCAAAGAAGAAATAAAACCATGAAGCCCCTTCAGAAGCCTTCCACGGGCTGGCTTTGGGATTTCATTTGCCCAGTAAAGGTCCCACTGTTGAAAGAGGATCCATTTTGCTGCCCTTCTTTACATGGGCCTGCTAAGTGCAATACATTGGTGTAATCACAGGATATTAACTCCTTTTACGAGGACCTGAGACTTGAGGTGACCGAGCAGCCTCCCACTCAGGGCACTGCTACAGGGAAGTAGAAAGGTGAGTTGAATGGGCCGTCCACGTGTTTACTTCCCGGCTTCCTGCTGCAACAGCCACATCCCCAGGAAGCTGTGCGACACGGAGGACTGTGGGGCCGGCTCCTGTCCCCTCCACTGCTCGGTCGGCAGCCCCCAGGCCTCGCGCTCCAGGCTGCGTACGTATCCACCAAGGCACACAGGTGGGTAGCCCCATCCACCTGAGGCCCCTTTTAAATAAGAATAATTTTCAGCCCTAAGAATGATAAGGGCAGCCCTCACACCCTGTCACCAGCTGCAGAGTGACACACAACAGGCAGCTGCAGCCAACTCCGTTGTCACCTGTGAGAGCTGCCACCCGCAGACCCCGACTGGCCGAAGACCGTCGGAAGCTGCCTTTGTTTGCACCATTCCTGCTTCGGGAGAGAGTCAGGAGGCCTCCCCAAGCACAGATAGGAGCAGCCTGAAGGGAAAAGCGGGTGCTGTGCCCCACCCACCGTATCCGCCTGCTACCACTGCGCTGGCCCCTCAGGCACAGACTGGTCCTGACCTAACCATGACAAATCAGAAAATGGTAAGACAGAGCCCTGTGTACAGATGGCCAAAGTGAAGCCCAGAGGACCAGAGCAACTCGTCCAGTGTCTCTGAGGTAGGAGAGCTGGCACTGGCTAGAACTCAGGTTCCCCAGCTACAGATCTAGAAAGTTCCCCAGGTCCCACCTAGGCTGTTCCATAACCTCCTTAAAGAGGCACCGGCCCTTCCTCGTCTCCGTATCCTCAAGCCTAAGCTCCCTGCCCAAGACACAGATGAAGGAAGGATAGGAACACACGAGGCACCGACGGCCTGACTATCGTGGTGCCAAGCACTGTCACAGCAGGTGAACTTACCACCCTCACAGAACCCCACTTCAAGATCCGAGTAATCTGCCAGAAGTCACAAAGCCAGGTGACAGATTGCTTACTGGTGTCCAGACTGACCTAACTCCATAGCCTGTTCCCATTTTGTCATGCTACCAAACTCAGCCAGGAACCAGAAATTACCACGTCAGTACAAGAACACCTACTCATGAGATTTCATTTCTGTTTAAATCTCATGTGCCTGAGACAGATAAACGGACATAAGGAACTCTAGGACCACATCTGACAGGAGCCAGAGAAGCCGTGAGGAAAAGGGAAGAAAAGAGAAAGTGTGGACTGCCTTAGTTAGACACTCCACTCCTCCCCAGCTCTGTGACCTTTGTAAGTCACTTGACCTCTCTGAGCCTTGACATCCTTCTGCATGAAATGAGCACCCTAAGGGTGACCACCTCAGCATTGTAGGAGAATAAAATGAGTACGTATTCGTAAAACACTTAGAGAGGATGGGTCGTTGCAAACAGCTATGTAAGTGCTTGTTAAATAAATAAGATAACTTGTTATTCTACATCTCCAAGCAATGACAGCAGTGGAAATACAGCAACATTGCCCCGTTTCTGGTAACCTTACTGACATCTGGAAAACACTCCGCTCAGGAGGACACAAGGCCTCCAAGCTGCCATCGTGGTCACAGAGCTGAGGCATGCCCCCTCACGCCTCCGGCAACACACTTCTTTACTGAACCTTCACCTCCGTGTGGCCATCCCTCAGTTTCAGAGCGTTTCCACACATCGCCACACTCGGAAATCTTACCCTAACCCTGCACGGCAGGTCGAGAAGGGATCCTGTCAGATCAGGAAACTGAGGCTATGTGATTTGGCCACAGCTGGGAGGCAGTTAGGATGGGGAACCAGATCTGACCCCAAGTCCTCCAACCTCAAGCCTGTCCTGCCAGAACATTCTTCTTTTTTCCCGTATGTATGTTAAAATATTTTCATTATGCAATATACATAAAAAGGAATTTATACACACATGCAAATACATGCGTCGTAAACAATGATAAACTTCCACCTGCTTAAGAAAGAGGATGCTACCTTGGAAGCCCCCCCATGTTCTTATTTTTCTGATAACAGCACATCTACTTAGTTATCATAAAAAAAGTAAACATGCACATAAATCTATAACATACGAAGTGAAAAAGGCCTTACTCTGGACACTTAGTGTCAAGAAGCTCCCTGCCCAGAACTTGCCAAAAGGACGGACATGTTCTAGATCTGTGCGGTCCAAGGTGTAGCTACTAGCCACGTGGCCAATGAGCACTTCTGACGTGGCCCATGTGGCTGAGGAAACGAATTTTATTTTAATGTAATTTTTAACACCGTACACACGTGTCTACACACTATCTGAATAAAAATGGGTAATCTGTTCTTTCCTCTTAAGACATCATGGCTATCTTCCCGTATCACCACATACTAACCTACTTCATTATTTTTAATGGTTCCTTTATTCCGTTTGGGGGGATACCACACTTGACGTAACCAATCCCCATTATGGTGGCTTCCAGTTTTTCGTTCCTACAAAGAATGAACATATCCACCAGTTTCAGGGACCCCATGCCTCTAACACCCACTGCCGCTCTAGCCAGAAACAGCGGGGCAGAAAGGGAGCTGGGAGGTCTCGTGGCCGTAGCTCCCAAGATGAGTGGCCACGAGTGGCTCTGGAATCAGGCAAGCCCTGGCATCAAGGAACATTCTGCTGCTCACTGACGGTGACAGGCAGGAAGCCTGGTGCCCCAGGGATATACTCACTTCTCAGTCCCCAGGAGCTCTGAATATTACGTTAG